TTGTTTTTAAGTGTGAAGTGAAATTTTATAGGAAATAGAAATTTAATCTGGAATCTGCACCTGACTTCTGCAGTAACACAAAATTTCTCTACTGAATTTAAATAGGCGCTTCGCTGTGAGAATGTACTGGTTTATATATTTTTTTGAATGCGACTTAATGCAATTAAAGCACTCACTGAATGCAATATGTAAGGGTGTTAAATGGAGTAGCAGTAAGTGAAATTACCATAAAGCAACTGAAGTCATTTTTAAATCCTTGCATTGCATAAATGATCAATGCAGACAACAGTCCTTGTTGAGGAGTGCTCTTATTACTATGAAATAGGCCCAGTTTGATAACAAGGGGATACAAGAAGCACAAACTGCGCTGATAAGCTGCTTTACATAATATTGCTGTTGGCTAGCCTGCGCATTTACATGAAAGCTGTTACACGGAAATCAAAGCTGACCTAGAAAAGTCCCAACATGCTGCAAATATAATATTGCTGTATATCACCCTGCTTACATACTGCATAAAATAGATTAAAACATTTTACCAAGCCCTGTTTTTAATCAGTAATGAACAGACTGCCGCTCATATGGTATGAACAGGAATAGAGAATTGCCGTAATTTGTAACACTTCAGACAAGGAAGCGAACACATCATGCATACATAAATGTATGCATACATGCAAGCATCGCTCTTCTTAAGCTTGTGTTGGTAGCAGAAGTTTGATAGCTAACAGCAATGCATACATTACCAGTCAGCGACTGTTTTTATCTGGGCTGCTCTGCCGCTTCGTAATCGTCTGGTTACAGCTGAATTAAATAAGTAAATACGATTGCTGTGGACTGGTGGGATCTGCACTGGTGTGGACTGGTGGGATCTGCACTGGTGTGAGCTGGTGGGATCTGCACTGGTGTGGACTGGTGGGATCTGCACTCCCCCCCAAAGTGCTGCAGTCAGGCTTCTATCCCTGCTGACGGAGTATCAGCAAGAGCTCACGAGAGACGGCAGCCCCCCCGGAGAGCAGCGCCCGGGGAGGTGCCCAGGTCAGCACCTTCTTCCGGCTCCGGATGGCAGACATGGTCATGAGGTTAGTGTGGGGGGGCAATGCCCAAGAAATAAAGACATCATAACAAGAAATTCTGTTTAAAAAAACAAGGGCGTTTTGTTTAGAGCATGACTTTTCTTAAACCAGGGCCCCTAAAACTGAGTGATCTTAGAACTAAGAGCTATGGTGGTGGGGGGCTTGTAATATTCCTTTCTTCTGGGGACCACCCCCCTGAAATACATTTGTGTAGCCACTCTGTGCACTACAAGGGGCCCAAGGACCCCAGGTTGAACACCTCTAGGTTAGAAAAACTTTATCCCAGGAGAAACAAACAGGTCACTCTAGATCTGCTCCTACTGAACTAGATTTAATGACGAAATATGAGTATGAATACTCATAGTAAGAATTATATCAAATTAAAATTAATTTAGACAGGCTTAAACTATGGTTGGCCTTTTACAACATACCACTTAGTCTCAGTATAAGACAACCTCTCTGCTGTCCATGTTGTGATTATGACATTAACACTAACTTTCAAAACCTGCTGGCATAGTCTGTGGTAATTAAACCAGAGATTATTTATATTTTGAATGCATAAATAATTCTTAAATATTTTATCAAAGACTAGGCTACATCAGTCTAAGACCCAAAAACATATTGACCACAAATTGCATCACAATTCTTCATGCTTATTTCTTTTTCAGATCTTCTGATGAAGCTAAACCCATAGTAACCAAAAAGCTCATCAAATGCAGTGGGTATCTAATTATTCATTCACAATATCATTTTGAAATGGAAAATATAATTGACTTTTGTCCTTTAAAAAATTATTTAATCAACAAAAATGAAGACAATATGTAGAGTTTTTATAAATACATAAATCACTGTCATGGACAAACAGTTCGATAAATGTGGCTAATACTGTTTTGGAGTAACGAGCTGACCTAAGGAAGTAACATCTCACAGTTCCCAGTGTACAGGAAATCCTGTTTTCTTTGCGGTTCCTGGTTGTACTGCTTAACAGATCAATACATCCCTATTGCACTAAAATGATACAAAGGAGAGGGCATCGTCTTTGCAATGGCTCTCGGAGCTGCGAGACAGACGTGGGCTGTTACAGGGGGGCCAAGCCGCGCCCTGACGTTTAAACATTTAGACTACACTTTATCTAAGAGGGTCAGTGAATAGTTTGTCGCCTACAACAGAATTATCTGTAAATTGAATTTCTAATGCTGTCCCTGGACAGGGGTTACAATGAAAATCAGAATATGACTAAATACAGAATATAAAGCAATATATTCCAAAGTACGGGACTGCTACATTTCCTTGACATTCTGCTTCATAGGCAGCGTAAGAGTAAACAAGTGCGAGTTTTTGCATTAAGGTCTAAACTGTTTCTGGGATAAATTTCTACTGAGTGATCCTATGAGTTTGCAAAGTATTTGAGTTATAGAGTCAATATATTATTACAGATATTGAAAATCCAGCATCACCACAGAGTCTCATTTTATTCTTTTTGCTGCATTGGTTTCTGAAAGCAAGAAGCCTGTGAGACTGGTGTATCATTCTGAGACACGTTGATTTTGAAGGCCATTCATTTCCTACTAAAAAAGCCATCAGACTCATCTTAAAGATTGAAGCTGTGCCCCGGGACCCATGAGGCCACCAACATATCAGAAGGTGGGCTGGCAGCAGTCAGCCAGGCCACGGTGGGAAGGTCTAGTGGGGCTGGCCGACCCTTGGAGCACGTCCAGCAGCAACCATGGCATCTGCGCGTTCCCTCCATGGTGATGGTTTCGAGTGTGGCACACCCCCCCCGTCAGCAAGAATTACTGTTTCAGACACAGAAACTTCCATATAAGAAGCTGTGCCGGCTGAAGCTGGGCTGGCTGAAGCTGTGCAGACTGAAGTTTGACAGAGTGAAGCAGGGCAGACTGTCACTGGGCAGACCAAAGCTGTGCAGACTGAAGTTGGGCTGACTGAAGCTGGGCAGAGTGAAGCTAGACTGTGTGAAACTAGGGAGACTGAAACGGGGCAGACTGAAGTTGGGCTGACTGTCATTCTTATTGGGAGCCCGTCATTCTGACTGGGAGCCCGAATTCTGACTGGGAGGCCATCATTCTAACTGGAAGCCTGCCAGTCTGACTGGGATGACTGGGAGCCTGAATTCTGACTGGGAGCCCAAATTCTGACTGGGATGACTAGGAGCCCAAGTTCAGACTAGGAGTCTGTCATTCTGACTGGGAGCCCGAATTCTGACTGGGAGCCCATCATTCTAACTGGAAGCCTGCCAGTCTGACTGGGATGACTGGGAGCCCAAGTTCAGACTAGGAGCCTGTCATTCTGATTGGGAGTCAGAATTCCTCCCAGTTATGTAGGTGGCACACTTGGGGGTTTTGGGCAATAGTTGTCAGCCGAGGTTCTCAACAGGGTTATGGCTGCAGGCACCTCCAGGCCTGGTCAGAATACAAGTCAGAGAGTGGTGCAGGAGGGCATCCAGAGATGGAGCTGACGGCCATCGGCATGGCAGTCTTCCTCAATATGGGGGGAGGTCTACACAATGAGAAGGACATGGAACCCCAGACCAGCTGTGACTTAGCAAAGTCTCTGGGGTCATTCTGATAAATTTATTGCTACTGCCACCTTCTCATCGCTAAATAAACAAATTTGTTTTTGATTCAGAAGTCTGTTGACAAGGACCAACAAGAACGTAAGAGCAAAAGCTTGTGTAGGTTGCAATGCTCCACATGCATATCTAGAAATATTTATTCTCATAAAGTGAGTAAGTTTATTAGGTGATATGTTTTACCTCTGCTAATGGATATTGCTGTACAAGACTGAGAGACTGATTTGTGTGTTTATAAACAGTACATACCTGCAGCTTAATATGCTCTTTCGTAAAGCTAATGATTGTCATAACGATGCTTTTCCCCACAGAAATCTTGGTTCATAGTTCAATACTATACTTGTCACTATATACTCATTATTTTAGCTGAGCTGAAAACAAGGATTTTTTTATTTTTTTTGCTTTTCAGACAAACCCTATGCCACATATTACCTATTATTTTAAGATGTTTTGTGAAATGTGTTTGCACTCAGCTGGCAGTTTTGATTTACAAACAGACTTAGAAGTGTGTTTCTGAAATAATTCTAATGAGAGAATTGTTGAATTCTTGTTCAGTCTTGTTGATGTCAGGACAACAGTATTAAGTGAGAAAAAGACTAAGTAAGACAGCTGGTGCAGAAAACTAAAAAATATAAATAAACAGGAAACTTTCATAGGAAGGAAGTGGCATCTGTGAGTTTTACGTGATAGTTTACAGACTATCTGTGACAGCTTATCCCTACATGCTGCGTAACAGCCTGCCGTCACCATACCTTCTGCAATAATTTGATTCTCTCAGGAATATGTCTCGACATATAAGTTTTATCCTCATGCGGATCGTTATGTGTTGCTATTTAACGTGACAGCCTATTCAAAGAAAATCACGGAATGTAACTTTTGATATAAACTGTTTTTAGAGTTACATTTGCTTTAAAAGTTATATTCAGTATAACTGGCCCCGACCGGAAAGATGAGTAAATTCTGATCAAATTGCATTTTATACATTTCTCTGTCAAATTCACTTGGTATAAACCGACTATGTTAGCAGCCAAGATTAAGAATAACACGTTTTACTCTAACTGAAATAAAACCAATAGTTCTTTTCACTGAACGCATTGACTCAAGGTAACGAGTGCTCAACAAAAAATGCATTTATTTCAAATTTTACCTGTATTATACAGCATCCCATTTTACTTGCACGTTTGCGATGAAATACATCCCATTTTACTTGCATGTTTGTGATCACTCAGTGTTACCGAACACTTAACTTTCCCCAGCAAACACGTCTCTCCGTGACACTGGGCGCCGAAGTGTTGCTGCACTTCCGTCCGCTCGGTGAATCTCATCGGTAGGTGTCTGTGTGCACTAGCCCGTCTACTTAGGCAGAAGTGTGGCTGGTTAGCTGCTTTGTTTGCATGATAACTTCCAGGATAAAATGTCCATGCAACGGCGCCTCTGACCTGGGGTACTCCCATCTTTTACTTTAAAAGTACGTCAGTAGTTAAAATACACATCACTGCATTAGTGGAATCATTATCAGAAATCTACGATTTTTTTTTTCCAAATGTCGATTATACGGATTTCAGCTTTGTTGCCGTTGTCTATGCATGTGTATAGAAACAGGAAGATCAGAGTTGCAACTTTCTCTCGATGCCAGGTTTCGCTCTTCCTTCTTCATAGGTATGTATGGTACTGGAATTAAACGCTGCATGTGTGGGTAGAATAGAGCGTTAGTATTTTTTACAGTTTATTCATGCTTTATCACTGGCCATTTGGTATATTTCTTAAACGTGTACAAGCAAACTCCATCATATTAAGGTATTTATAGCAGCATGGATTTTTAAATTAAATTATTGTTTTAGAACCCAAGCAAGTATTAAGACATTGGAGTATTTTTGGTTTTATTGGTTTCTCACTATGTTAGTCATAGTAAAATATCAAACCTTTGTTTAAAGCCTGTAAATAATCTAGTTAAATTAAATTATCAGCGCACCTCCATGTGTAGGGAAAATGTACATACCTGCGCACATAAAGCATACTCTTCAAAGCTGATCTGTGGTATTGCGTATGTTGTGCTGCCAGCCTGGATGTGGACGAGAAGGAGTGACTGTAGGGACCTTAATCGTGATGCAGTCAGACACTGGGTTCCGTGAATTTAAGCTCTGGGTGTTAAATGGTGCATCAGACTGGGTGTTCACAGGGCAGGACGTGACAGCCAAATCCCAGTAATCTTGGATTTCACTAGCCCTCTGCTTTACCCCTGAAAGGAGAATGATATTCCTGACATAACATGTAAATTATTATACATGGCTTGATCAGTCATCTTTCACTGTGTTCTTGAAGTGCAGATCTGAGTGTGGTTCTGTCCCATTTCTCCCACTCTCTTCACATTTATTTGCTACCACACTTGGCGTGCTCATTCAGTGGCTTAGCGCAAGTATTCTAGGGTGTCCCGTTCCTCTAATAAGCCAAGTGCAACACTCTTCACATGCACTTTATCCACACTTTGGGAAATACTGCATGGAAGCAGCCTTTGGCTACTCATTCACAACCGATGTTTGCATCAAGCACGAGGAAGCCCACCGGTGCTCAAATGTTTGCATAGCAGAGGTTACATAGAACGATGACCCGAAACACAACTAAGACAAATGACAGCATAGTTGTAGTGTGGCTCTTGATTACCTCTTCAGTATGTCCCACTGGCTTAAAAAACTCCCCGCACCTTTGTGCTCTTTAAATACATGCGTGCACTTTGTGTCGTATGTCAGAACACGTCTGCACACAGGGCACTTGGCCATCAGTGTGCTGAATGTGATCTGCTGCAGAACAAGGGTTGGCCACTAACAGTGGTTTCCGGACATGCTGTCACTGTTTAATTGGGACTAAATGGTGATTTAATCTCCATCAACTGAAGGAATAATTTGATGGAACACACATGTGGAATTTCTCCTTAGAAAAGAGTTCAAGAATGACATACATAAACCAGTGGTGTGAAAATTTAGTTATGCGTCTTTATAAAGATGAAAGGAAAGCCTGATTTGTGCGGCCTGTAGATTTTGAAGGAAATCTCCCAGAAGGAACAATGCTGTCGTAAATTTTTATGTATTTCTCCGTCAGGCACTGTTCTAGAAGAGTAACGCGGAGTCGCCTTGAGTTCTGGTAAAGCAAGGAAGCAAAATATTTACATAATTCACTTCGGCTTTTGGCCATAATCAAGTCAACAGATTAGGTATATTTTGTGGAATTCTGTAAGATGACCTATAATTTATTCCTCCATGCTTGTGTGTTCAAATTGGATGATACCATAGTGGAGATTAAGGAGATTTTCACATATTGCTTTTTTTAATGACCTAGATTGGAGCTGCAGTTGAATCCATTTCTTAAACAAGTTTGTATGATATAATGAGTGAATTATCTTTTTTTATATTCAAAAAATGTTTTTTATATTCATCCATGGTGTTGAAAATATGGTAAGCATTAGATATTGTGTTTGAGCCTAATGTTTACAACTATATATGAAACCTTTACATTTGTTCACACTTTAATCGTGGTTCAGCTTTGAAATACTGGTTTGGATAGTGGAATAGTGGCTAGGGCAGCCGCCTATCAAGCAGGTGACTCTGGTTTGGTTCCTGGTATAGTGGTTAGGGCAGCCGCCTATCAAGCAGGTGACTCTGGTTTGGTTCCTGGTATAGTGGTTAGGGTAGCCGCCTATCAAGCAGGTGACTCAGATATGGTTTCTAGTAAATGCAGCCAAACTGATTTCTGTAATGTGCTGTTTGCCTCACTTGTATCTTCTAGGTTTAGGCTCTTAATCCCCAGGCATTCCGATGACTCGCTAATCCATGTTTCTCCAAAAAATGTATGCTGCTTTGGATAAAAACTGCCAAATACATAAAAGGTCAATCTACCTAATCTCACCTTACACAGTATAAAATCACCTCAAATTTCAGGCCAGTTGAAATCAGCAGCTGTGTGGGGTCAAACCACTGGTCTGAGGGTTCTCTCCGAACAGTTTTGTTTCGTCTTTTCTGTTGCAGCAAGAAATGAGGACGCAGTGTCACCTAAGGTAAGCGTGCTCTCAGCCTGCCCTCAGCCGGCCGCGTTGCATCATTTCACCACAGTGTGGCGCCATTTCACCTTCGACCTCTCAAAATTGTATTTTAAATTTGTTCGGGTGACTTTGCTTATCCTTTGGATCATTTCAAAGATTTTCATGGATGTTCTACAATAATTATTTGGTCTGTGTGTTATTTATGAACGGATTCCTATATCCCATCAGGAGGCAACTCCAGCTGTAAAGTAAGTGCTGAATGACTTGATACAGTATTGAACTGTACTGCTTTCACTTGTAATTGCTGTATCCTGCTGACATGTGTGCCTAATATAGAAATATACACGTCTCAATGTTTTAAAGTAAAAATTCATTCTCAATCATTTTCTATCTTCTTATGATAATGTGTGGTCCTAATTTTGTCATAAAAATTTGAAACGGCTTAACATTTTAACACGGTCCCCGATGTCCTGGGAATGACTGGTACCAGACACAATCTCATGTCACTGTCACCATCATGGTGAAAAATGCCAAGAAGGATGACGCCTGTATTTCCTTTGAAGAAGAAAAGGTATTCAGACTGTGCACTGCTGTTTATGAAAGAAACCGATAGCCCTCAGACCATGGGTTTAATTAAACTCCGTGAAATGAATTAACCAGCAGGGTGACAGGTAAAAGGATTTTTTTCACCCTCACCGGATAAACATTTCATGTGCACTGACAGTTATTAATTTGTAGAGCGTTTCATTATAGTATATGATTACACTTATATGCGTTGAAAGCTAGAAGATTAAAAGGCATAGGAGGAAAAAAAAGACAAATTATGGAAATAACAGCACCGGAAATCAAAGTGTGAACCTGTGTTTGATCTATTCTATAAATTAATTAAAATTTTCAGTTCTGTATAATAATCTGGTGCAAATTAGATGGAAATGAGATAAAATATTAATTTAGTTATCTGGGGAATCTGCCTGGAGGGGTTTTTGTAGGCTTCAGTCTGGCTGAAAATGCCGTCCATATGGCAGTCAGGAGCGCTGGTCTGACGCCTCGTGGCGGGGGTGAAGTCTTCTGTGACGCGTGGCTGCGAGGGTTTGATGTGAGAGGAGCTGGATAATGAGGCTGTTGTAAGGCCCTAAGTACAGAGGGTACCCCAGGGGTAGCATACATTACGGCCGACCTTCACCGGCGCTGGCTCACATGCTTGTTAGAAACCCTTTTCTCTCCCGTTAGCCGTTGCTAGCCTATTGTGGCGACCGCAGGGCGAGTCTCCGTAACGCACGCCAGTCCTTGGCATTTAAATGAGACGCGATGTCAAGGGCTCAGCCCGCACCCCCCCCCCCCCCCCATCGAGTGTTTCGAAAGTAACGTCAGGAAATAAAGTGCAGGCATCTTCTTTTAAGCCAAAGAGAGACCCATTGCGCTGCTGTCGTTTTGACACGGAGCTGTCCACTCCTGGAGATGCTCCAGCACCCAAAATTCTGCCCTTTATGCTTTTCACCCTGCAGATGAGCGTTGTGGTCAAAACGGCACCACAAGAAGAAAAACACCTGAAGTTCCAGCTGTCGCATCCTGTTGTTCCTCAAGAGAGCACCTTTAAAATACTCTCCACCAAGGTGAGACAAACTGCCTCTTCCTGCAAAGACTCCCTTCTACTGAAAGTTTGAGCAGCAAAGTACTTTAGGCCTGTTACTCGTTTGTACTGCAGGATGTTGACTGAAGCTTAGGCTGGTCATGTGCTGAGCTCACGGGCTCCGGTGCACCTCCAGGTCCAGTTAAGTACTGCTTTGCTTGACAGTTCGTTAATCCTATATATATGGGTTCTGGGATTGGAAGTGGCTGTCGGGCGTATGAGTATTAGCTGGTTATTATTACCGAAATGGTACTAGCCACCAGGCAGAATGCTGCTTCCAGCATTTTTACAGATAATAGGATGATAAAATAGATGGAAACAATTTACTCTAGTTAAATGTCTAATGCCAGGTTTTTATCAATCCTAGAATGGCAGGTGTGCAGGGGGCAGTTTCTTTCTTCAGTAATGTGAAAATGGGTAATAGCTTGGAGAATCGTGTTAATTAGCTGTGGATATGCCAAAAGATTTGCTGTGTTAGTGGATAACGTTAACTAGGAGGTGTTCTGGAATGGAGCTGGTGATAAGTTTGTTTACTAGCTCTGGGGTGGTGTATCTTGAGCAGTTAGATCTGCACAGTGTCAGATCGGCGAGTGGTCAGAGGATGAAGGAACCTGCTCAAACGCTAAAGCCTGTAGCCTTACTGCAATTGGCTAATATGTGGTGGATGCAGCCATCTGATAGACAGTTCAGGGCTATAAAAAGGCTGATCTCTGCTTCGTACCACAAATGCCATTGCATTGAAAAGAACTTCAAGGCCGGATTCCAGAACTGAGGCCATTTATCAGGTATCAGTTGCCTCAGTTCATTTTGGATAACAAACCACATTTGTGTATTTAATACATATGAATGCAAATGGCTTTGGGAGCCGACCACTGCAGACACTCATCTTGTTGACGCAATAACTCAAAAAGTACTTGACGGATATTTTTTAAACTTTGCAGAAACATTGAATGGGACACGATCTGGACCTGCTTGGATTGTGAGACAAATTGCACCAAAACTGAAGCACGCCACATAGTTGCAGCACATGAAATTGTAGGCGCAAATCTGGTAAACCTCACTACTTTCAGATAAGTCACACAAAGTTTTAATAAGGATTTTTTGGAGAGATGAGGAGGGGGTAGGGTGGGGCTACATATTATAGTGGTTGGAGGTGTGTAAGGAGTAGGGATAAGATGGTGGTGGGGGGTGGGGGAGATGGGGCCATCCAGGAAAAACACTGTTATCTTTCCTATAGTGTCTGGTTTTGAAATGAATAATGTCTTGGGAGCTGATCATTTGAGAAGCATTGCAAGTGTTAGGTTGTTTCTGGTGAGCAAGATACATGCGTCTGAAAAAGCAGCACTGAGGGAGGTTGTTCAGAGTACAAGTACGAGTTCAGAGCTGAGGTTTGCCCCCATCTGTCTGTTTCCTTTCCAGTCTTTATTGTCCAATACATGCTGTGTAAAGCAACGCTTCCTTTCACTTAGGTGATGCTGTGCTGAAGATCTATTCATACAACCAGCAAAGGAGATTTAATATGCTTGCAGAATTTTTCTCCCTAAAAATGAAAGGTGCCATTGAATTAATTTTTTAAGTATTTTAAATTGTTGTTTGGTGTCTATATAGAAGGTATGTGAACTTGGATTTGTTGAAAAATGCCCAGAAGTGGTTTTACACCCTATTATTTTGCCTTAAAATGAAACAGGCAGTTTTCCCTTTTTTGGTGGGCTCATTAATACATTGATGTGCTCTGCTCTGATTGGCTGGTTCACAGTGACTCACGTAGAACCAACATCTCTACAGTCATGTGCCACATAACAACGTCTCAACAGCGTACAACATCTACGATGGTGGTCCCATAAGATTATAACGGAGCTGAAAAATTCCTAGTGCCTAGTGATGATGTAGTGCGACACATCACTCATGTGTTTGTAGTGATGTTGGTGTAAACAAACCTACCGCGCTGCTAGATGTGTGTAGCGTATACAATTATGTACATAATACTTAATAACAGTTGCGTACAATTATATACATAATACTTGATAATAACAGATAATAATAACAGTTATACTACTGGTTTATGTATTTACTATACTGTATTTTATATCATTATTTTAGAGTGTACTCTTTATACTTTGCCACACATAACTCTAATACTCCCATTTCAGCCTCGGGACAATGTTAGCATAGTCAAAACTTTGTTGTTTGCTTTGCAACAAAAACACTAATTATTTTGCAACTCAGTCAACAAATGATTTTACAATGCTAGCTTTGTCATGCAATTTTAAGCATTTTAAGAAGCTTTGTGATGCAATTAAGAACCCCAAACAGATAGCAAGCTGAGCAGCTTGTAAACGTATTGTTTGTAATGAACTTGGACTGTATCGATTAGATTTAACTTACCAAAAATAGGCTGCAGGCAGCACAGAAGCCTCTTGTCAGTGTCAGTTGTTTGCTACTCCCCGGCTAACTTGGAGTACGTTTCCCAAAACTTTCAACATTAGCACCATACATAATTGCAGTCATACAACTGAATGGTTCCAACTATGTAAGTTGCTAAGAGGAGCTGTTGGGAAACGTACCCCTGAATAGGACTTCCCTTCTTAGCCTACTAGTAATAAATAACCTTACATCAATGGCTGTCAGTGTATATATATATTTTTCCATGCTAGGTGCACATGTACAAACTGTGCACTCAAGCCACTCGAGAGAGAAGATGTATTTTGCAGGGTCCATGTACCAAACTGTTCTTACTCAGCTATGCCAAGGTAATGTGAGATTTTCATTCGATGGCACCTTTAAGGTGCATGCATGTATTGTGTGTATATAATGGCATTTGGAATAATAATCTGCATCACTAAACTCCCACAACTTTGTTGATCATTAATTAGGCATTTATAGATTATACATCCATTTGGAAAAGCCTTTATTTTGTTCTGTGGATTACATGTTTGGCACCCTCTGGGATGCCCGGCATCGCCTGTACTTAAGAGAAACAAATATTTTTATGTTTCGCAGTCATTGTCCTGACACCGGTGGTGTTAAAATATGGATAATTAGTGATGTTTAACAGAATCCACAATTCCCTGAGTGAATGATTTTTTTAGTGTTTTTGAAAAACTGTTAAACAATAGCTTTTAGTGGTCTCTGTTCCTGTTGTTAACTGAAGTGCTCTATTTACTAGTTACTTATTGTTTGGTTAATTGCTGTACAGTGGATGAACAAAATACCTTGCAGACGCACTAACAGAAACCTGAAAGGAACAGCCAGTGAAGCACTGCATACTGGCCCTGACTTTGCTGAAATGTCACCCATGGTTATGCAGAAGCAAAATTCTTTACTGCAGGAGTGATACGGTTTGGTGCGGCTCGCCTGCCGCTCACACAAATGAAGACGTTGTGCTCCCAGACGCGCTGTGAGGCTGTTTCGGTGGGTAACGGGGCGGGCGCTCTGGCGGTGCTGAGGTGAAGTATGTGTGCTTCGGCGTCTCGTTAGCACAGGGGTGCTAACTTCCCACAGTCCGGCTGCCTGCGGGGGGCAGGGGGTCAGTGCTCACAAAGCCCTGCTTGTTCCCTGGCCTGAAGGGCTCCCAGGGTAAGCCCGGCTCAGAAAGGGGACCGGGGGGGGGGAGCGGCTTAGTGCAGAACCGCCCTACCCCCATGCCAAGCCCGCTCCCCATGCTCAGCAGAGGCTTCTGTGGGGCTCTGTCACACTTCAAGCGACAAAAAGCTAAATAAAATCTGTTTTTAGCACAGAGCCTTAGGATAGTGAAAGCCGTGTAGAGACTGTAGAGCTTCTGATTTGATTAGAATGGGTGACATTATTGTAGCTTTCTGGGTGAATGTGGTGTTTTTCTACTGTTTGTGTTTCAGGTTCCTTCTGAAATAGGAAGGGGTTCTTCCTCTTCTTTCCCCCCCTCAGAGTTTGTTTAATTTGTTCTTTGAACAAAAGTTTCACTTTTCCTGCTCCCAGACGGTGACCTACTTCCCGTGTCACATTTAGTCGTATCTTGAAGAACTTTACTTGAGTGCATTCTGATAAACTCCTAGCTCTGCCTAATGACACGGGAAATGCTCAGCTGCTGAGAGTGCTTCTAATTTCCTTAAATTGGACGTAATAATGCTTTGAGGTATTTCTCATAATTTAAATAAATATCGCCGTACTTTTCCCCGTATGGCTGTCAGCTCTGGTGTTTTGATAAAGCAGTACAGCTGAGACCTGAACGCTGCCTGTTACTGAGGAACGTGATGTGCAGCAGGCTGATTTAGCCTAATGACCATGACGGTGACAGGCCAGCGCTACCGATCGGAGGCCCCTTGCAAATCCGCATCACTTCAGGTCGACTCCTGGGCCTTTCAGCTGCTCCACTCTGGTGCACAAGCCATCAGGAGGTCCTGGATGTGTCAGGCCTGTCACCTTCCTTTAAGTGCAGCCACAGACATGGGATGTAGATTAATATTGTATAGCCTGAGGAAGCTTTGGGACTGTCTTATCAGCAGTATGTGTGCAATTACCACTGCCGTTATTTTGTGAAAACCTGAAACAGAGCACAGCGATAAGAATTGCTCATATATATGTGTGTATATATATATATATATATATATATATATATATATATATATATATATATATATATATATATATACACACACATTATTTTATAAAAATCCGTAGCTGCAATGAAAAAACTAAAAATGCAGGAACACTTGTATTTTGTTTGGTTACTTATGGTTATGGTTAGGGCTGGGTAGGGGTGAAGGTTGTCATAGTTAGCGTTAGCATTTTTCAGGTAGAAATGAATGAGCGGTCCCCAAAAACATATGATTACACAACTGTGTGTGTGTGTGTAGACATATATACATATATGTTTGTGTTTTTTTTTCTTTCTTCCTGCAGTGTAGCTAAACTACTGCATCATTACAAACAAAATTCCTTTGTTTTCTTGCTTTATTACTGTCTGCCATCGTTGCATTTCATTTCTATTGATCCATCCAAATTCTGTAACGACGTATCAATTTTAGGGTAGTGGTGAATTACAGCCTTGCACTGGAAACACAGGGCATAAAGCAGGATATATTGTGAATTTTATTTTACTACTGGAATTTTGACCTGACTAGCACACTTCCTCATGAAGGTCTTTCCTCTATCCTCTGGGTTTTCTTAATTTAACGCAAGCCAGTTTAACTACTCAAACATCATGAATTATATATCTTGTGCCAGCGATTCCGGGATGTCTCCTAATTATATTGACACAAGACTGATTTCTGTGAAGTCTTCAGTGCGATCTTGATGAGAGGGTTCCTTGCTTTGCCCTGACACCTTTTCATGTTCCCCGAGACAGGCGAGCTGTCAGAAGAACGGGGCATTCTGCCCGTTTTGCTCGGTGCAGGTCTCTGCCGCAGATACGTCAACGTCAGCACAGTTGGTGGGGCCCCCAGGAGTCCATCTCCCTGCTGGCTCATTAGGTCTGATGTCTTTCCTCAGATTGAGATTATGATGAAGAAGAGTGAAGCGATACGTTGGGAGACACTGGAAATGGAGGGGGCCCAGGTTAACATGAAGCCATTCACTCCAAGTGAGTCCTGGAGGTTGAGTATATTGTGAACACCGAAGGTCCCCCTCTTCATGTAGGTCATTTGTTCCTATACAAAGCATATTAGATAATGAAAATCTGAACGGATGCTAACAGATTTAGCCCTTATCAATCTGGAAGGTCCATTTTAGTTCATTTATCACCAGTCCTGTGCTTCATTCTTCCTAAAACAATGTGACGGACAGTGGGAGAGATAGCCGGCACTTACTGGGAGACTTGTTCTTTCAGACCAGTATCCATCCTCTTCCCTTTACTCCCGTAACTGGGACAAACTGGTGAGGGACATTAAGGATGAAGAGAAGAATGAGAAGCTGGAGGGGGACACTGCTCTGAGCGATCTCTTCCAGCAGATCTACTCCGACGGTTTGGATGACGTCAGGCACGCCACGAATAAGTCTTTCGTAAGTCTTTCATTTGCTTCTTAATCATGTAGATATTTCTACACTCAAACCTTCGTATAATGTATAGGTGAAGCAGTTATATATACTTTTGTTTATGTTTATTCCTGTTCCAGTCAAAGTTGCATTAGCTGGCTTGGTAAAGAAATTAATCATTTATCTGAGTCAGCCAAAAACCAAGCAATTAAGTGATTTAGACATTTTCTGTGACAAACTGCTCAATTGTTTTTTGAGATCTATAGAATTTATGAGAATAAAAACATGCAGAGCTGACATCAAGATAATAATAATAATAAAATAATAATAATAAAAAATAATTTCTTTATTTTCCTTACAAACACATTTGGGTTCGACTGATGTTTTCACATGAACAGTCAGTGTAAGCCAGCTCTCGTTCTGGCCTCATTCAGATGGAGTCTGGTGGAACAATCCTAAGCACCAACTGGAAGTATGTGGGTAAAAGAAAAGTGAAGGTGAGACCCACAGTTGATGTAGAGCGGAAGAAATTCTGAAGCCTTCGGTGACCTCTTATGAAAATCTTAAATTGCCTGTATGGCAGCACAGCCACCTGCGCGGGGTAGAATGTTCTGAAGCTACCCCTGGACATAGCAGGCTTGTATATTCCAGAGTTCTTCTCTTACTGAAGGTACACCCATGGATTTTCTAATGGTAATTTAAAAAGCTTATACGTTATATGAAAACATCCTGTCTTTTGCCTGTATAGTATTTGTCACAAATCCAAGCACTTTTTCAGTATCTACCTTTATGTTAAAAAAAGCACTTACTTCTGAATCTAGCAGTTGTCAACTTCATTGTACATTTAAAATGGAATCATAATTACTCTTAAATTACAAATCTGCTTTTAATAGGAGCTGTCCCTTAAAATGCATACGTATATTTGCTACAAGAATCAGCTTGTATGACCATTAAATGTTTAAAGCCATTTCCCATCAATCAGACAGAGCTGTCAAGATCAGTTAAAAGTTCTGGCGGCATTGTCCACATGTAAAGTCATTACAAAAAGAAACTCTCAGATTAACTGTACAGTTCATGTATTGAACCGTGCAGTGCGAGCAACCATAAGCTATACTTATGCATCATTCATGGAGCGTTGAAAGTCGTACGTAATTTTGTGAGGCCATAATGCAGGTTTATTGCTATACATTGTCAGTTTTACAGTGCATTATGCTTTTGTTCATAAATACAGGGTAGGGATTGTGATATACATAAACATTCATGCACTCTTAACCCTAAATTGCTATATACTGTATATTCTGTACTGCATGTAGATGTCATTTGGTCTTCGATGCAAATGACTACATGGCCAGAAAAATGACTTAAGTATGACCATAATCCAGGGTTTTAAGGCATAGTTAGTACACTACCATCAGAAGTACAGTGTCCATTCTGCATATCATCTCCAGTAAAAATGGAAATATAATATATACCAATAAAATAGGTGTGTGAAGGACAGTCAGGGATAGAGCAGGGCTTTATTAATATATCAAAGTGACATGTGGGAATCTACAGTCTTCTTATATAAGCAGCCATTGCAGAAACAGTATGTATTTGCTAATATGATTTACAAGCCCAGTCAAAAGAAGGGGATGAACAACGAAAGTCCCTGTAAGGTAAGAAGGCCGCTGGCCCTTGGGGCGTTTGCATTGGGCCTTACAAACACAGCTCGCCTCTTATTTACACTGAGAAGGCACAAATGAGCAGGCCTTTGTATTAAAATGCAGGTAAGATGGCGCTGGCTGCATGGACTGCTGCTGTCTTCTGCATGAGGGCCTCACACGACACCCAGGATGCGGCCCACCCACCAACGGCAGGGCATGATCATCCTGCAGGCCACGCGGCAGCCTTGGTACTCATAGGGCCAAGGGGAGTAGCCCCCCAGGGGCTCGCAGATCCTCTGGCAGTGAGTGTAGCTGCGTGTGCATTCATTGCAACAGATTCCCAGATGGTCCAGCATGGGGTCGAAGGTCATGGTGCCCTCCTCTCCCTCCAGATTGCGCTGTCGAATTTCAGGAGAGGAAATAATGTCATTGTGTGCTACAGAATGGCTCAGGCCCCATAAAATCACTGTAATGCTTCGGCATATAGTTAAGTCTTTTTACATTTCAATTTGGGTTAGGAAAATAGAAGAATCTAAATCTTTTTAAATGTGCAGTTCCTTTCTGATGAGGTTTTTAAAGATAAAATTAGATAATTTCCCACATGTGATCAATAAAGTATATTTTCATCCATCCTCCCATCAAATTTTTCATCGCTCAAATTTTTTGTTACTCAAAAAGAAGCCTTCCAGAAAAGTGCAGGGGCAGACTCCCACAACCCTTATATTTCTCATCTGGCGCCGCTCACATGATAGGGGTTTTCTGGGTTAAAGGTCTGCTCCTCCCTCTCCTGCTCGTTCTCTGGGCGTCCTCTGCTGCTGCTGCTCCTGTTACGTTGTGTCTGGCGCTTTGCTCGCATCATGACGCTCCGTTTCTTCCTCTGTACGTCTTAAACACAGTAAGCAGAGAGCAGTTACAATGGCTCACCAATAACCCCTATGCAGTGCTCCTGTTAGGGGCCCGTCCTGTGCACACTGTCTTGGTACAATCAATTATAATCTCCTGATCAACTGGTTACAGTTTAACATCTATATGTGTTCATAATTTTGTGAAAGGTACACAAGATTAGTAAGTAAAAGCTGAGCTGACACTTATCTAATACCTTTATCATAGTGTCATTCACTGTGTTTCTTTACGTGCTTCTAACAGTGTTAGGCATTTCCTACATGCTGCCCCTAAAGGGGAATTTCTCCCTCGATGAGTTATGCCAGATGGAGCCATGGAGAGCTTAAGGGGCTGTACCTTTAGCATAAGTGGGACGAAGCCAAAAAATGGGAAGGTCTCCACACAGGTCCAAGATTTTGGAGCTCAGGAAACTGCTGTCCTTAAGTGGCTGGTCTGCAGCCACCCAGATCAGAGACTCTTCGTCAAACTTGACTGGCATGATCTCATCCTCCTAAAAGGATTATGTATCTCATCAGTGGCTACTTGTGAAAATGGCATAAATTCGCACTAGATCACAGGCAAAAGCCAATACATTTCAGGAGAGGGTTTCCAATATTTTCACCCATGTTTATTTTTCATTAAAACAGTAATCAAGCACACCATAAAAACTACATTCCCTTTGGTCATGGCAATTATATGAATAATTCATGCACACGTTTGGTAATTTAAATGAAAATCCAGTGCATTTGACATATTTTCCAAAGGTTACAAATAACTCTGTAAAAGGTTAAAGAAATACTCCACAGCCAGCTGTGTAACGCAGAAATACTCCACAGGCAGCTATAGATGTGACACATAAATCCTGCACAGGCAGCTATGTGACGCAGAAATACTCCACAGGCAGCTATGTGACGCAGAAATACTCCACAGGCAGCTATAGATGTGACACATAAATCCTGCACAGGCAGCTATGTGACGCATAAATCCTGCACAGGCAGCTATGTGACGCATAAATCCTGCACAGGCAGCTATGTGACACAGAAATACTCCACAGGCAGCTATGTGACGCAGAAATACTCCTCAGGCAGCTATGTGACACAGAAATACTCCTCAGTCAGCTATGTGACGTAGATATACTCCTCAGTCAGCTATGTGATGCAGAAATACTGCACAGGCAGCTATGTAATGTAAAAATACTCCACACTATACAACGAGAATATGAAGAGTGAATTACTCAAAAGGCTGCAGCAACGCAGAAGGGCAAAGAAATTAAACATTGGAAAACTTTAGCTTTTAACATTTCAGATTTCCATTCCTCTTTTCCAGATCATTCCCAAATGATGACTTTTTCAAGGTTCTAAATACAGCCATTAAAAAGCTCCTTTTGGGTGAAGTTCCAACCTACCAGATCGAACATCAATGAATCCTTGTTCAGCGTTTCCACCTGCGGGAGGTGCGCTTTGCCTTGAGTCTTTATGTAACATTTCTCCCCACCGGAGAACCTAATTCCAGTGATGCCCTGTTAAAAATGTTGAGGATATTAAATCACTGAAAAATATAGTATATGTTTAAATGCTGTGCATTTAAGAAACAACACAATAATAATGATTATATAAAAAAAAAATATACTCCACTCGTGCACAAGGAGAAAAACTGTGAAAACTCACAATGTGAAAATCGTGAACTTCCACTGCTTCGTCGTTCCCACTTCCCGTTACGAACCTCTCCAAATTATTCTCGGAATCGATTTCCATGGAGCCCTCCTCGATTTTACCATTGACACTCATGCTGTAGTGAACATTGTACACCTGTTGATAATACCAGCAGTCCATCTAAATATCGTTCCAACATGAAGTATTTATCTATTTCTATGTTTTCCTTCACAAGATTTCAGGTGATGAGAAATGATCATGATAATTTAGACAACACTTAACACACTTTATTGTGTTATTATATTACTCTGTTTATAGATATTTTGATTGGACAACTGGCACCACGCTTTAGTGTTTTACGTTATATAGGTTTCCAGACACCAAGAAGCCAAGCCTAAGCAATTCAGATAAACGAAACTGCTCACATTAAAATATTGATAGGTCTAACAGACAAACGTATAAAACAGCTCTTCCAGAAAGCTTGAGTTAAGGCTGTTGTAATACCTATAAAAACTTGCGACAATATAAAGATGAGCATTTTAGGTCGGATTTGTAGCTTTTAATGGTCTATTAAATAATCGATTCAACGTTTCAATAATTTCATTGATGCAATTAAGTTAAATCAAATAGGAAAAATACAGGGAGTTTGATCCACTACGAAACCGTGCATTGTAAACTGGGGTAAGCAGTGGACGGTGCGACATAGAAGTCACACCTCTCGATCCTAGGGTTACAAGGAGACCATCTGCATGTAAGTAGGATTAAGTCGCTTAATCATCTCTCTACCAAAGTTCTGTGAGAGCCGTGTGTAGAAACATAGGCCTATACATGGAGATATACAGCAGAAAGACGACCTTACGTGTTTATCGGTAACTTTCCAAAAGTAAAAAGCACCAATAGCTCCGAAAAGCAGCAAGATCGCCCCAGTGATCAGTAGCGCTGCTCCTATCTTCAGAAGGCGGCTACTACCTGAGAGCTTCCCAGTCACCGCAGCGTAAGCCTTCGGAAAGAAGTGCTCAAATCATTAAAAGCTGCATCAACTGATCAACACGCTGTTAACATACATTTCATCTAGAACTGCAATCACACATGAGATATCGCTCTTCATTCGCATTTTTCCGACATTTTAATTTGTCATTTTAAATATAAATTGCGTGAACTGGGTAATTGCTTCTGACTCTTTACACCTCATATTCAGGCAGAAGACTTCGGGAAGGCTCCAAGCATTTCCTTGTGCAAAATCCACACAGAAAAATATACATAAAGGAAGCATTCGTTGAGATATCTATAACTGCAAAATTCAATTCCCTTAATAAACAGTCCAAACTTTTGCAAAGACTTACAGGAGGCAAAAATTGTTCCACGTCGTCTGGTCCAGCCATTGCGATGGGAGTTTTCTCTGTAGTGTCTGACATGCCCGCGTTTGAGGCTTCAGGGCACCTATGTGCGGACCTCCCAGCAACGCCGCCAGTGACGACGCAAATATGAACACCTAGAAGCTTGTGGTAGCCTATTAGTTGTCCCCTAAAACAATGGATTTTTTTCTTTTGCTGGTGGTTTTAATGTGAACCGTGTAACTATATACATATAAAACATATGAAATACTCCATGATTTTGTTTTCCCTCAAATATCTCGGGTCAACTCGAGTGCAGCTGTAGCAATTCTTACAAACTTCTTAAAAGGTTAAGTTCCTACTTTAACACATAGGTGTTCCGTGTCCATAGGCGACCGCAAGCATTTCGCCCCTCGGCCAAGAGTAAACGTAATGGGTGGACAATTGCTGTGTAAAACTGTAATTTCATTACAATCTCTATGTGCAATGCAACTTGCAAGTCGACGCTAAATATGTTTGATGACAAAGTGAACTGTTACGGTATTAAATTGGCAATGATGGCAACCGGTGATTGAACAATGTCACACCAATCAATGGCATTTAATGACATAATAAAAACGAGACTGTTGCATACATGCCGTTCGTATCCCTCAGTCTCTGGATGCGTATAAATGAATGCATAATCTGTCTGTGACTGCCGTAGCAACAGCACCACCCTCCGTCTCTGTCAAAATGTAATCTAAAAGGGAGGGCAGAAGCACTGCTTTCAGCGCAGCGGAATACCAAGACCGGAGACCTTTGTGCGTTCTGAATGTAAAATAAACAAGATTTGACCATTTATTTTCAGCAAATTGTGATGAAGGCGTAAACAAATATAAACACATTAATATTTAAAAAAAAACCCACATCTTTCTCTGCTTCATATGGGTTTTCTCCATACTGAAAACCAAAGGAAGTGTGATTGCAGTTGCAGTTTCATTAAAAGCATGCTTTTTAAAACAAATATTTAATTTACAGTTGCATTTTTGTCTTACAAAAATATACTATATGTACAAAATCTTGCATAATATACATAGTATTGTTCATACAAGTGACTGGATGCATTCGACTCACATTAATATAAATTAAATACCTCAAAGCCCTCAAGCGAGATACTTTATTTTCCACTAGACATTGTTAAAAACGCCTGACTAAACCGTTAAACATCATTTGTCGGACATCGCGATGTGATGGCCGAGAACACCGGAAGGGTACTCTCATTAGTTCCCTGTGCACTGACAGGCTGGCCTGGGGAAACTATAACATAGTCATAATCTCTGTGCTGAACTTTCTCATACACGCTTTGCAAACCAACTGTTTTAGGTATGTGCGCTTGGTAACAGTTGTCTCTCCTATGGGCGTCACGTGGGAGAGACGCCGTCTTAGCGAAGGAGCTGGCGTTAGCGCGAGATGCCGAAGGGCTCCAGCATCGGTCCGAGTGGCCCAGGATCTTGCATTCGCTCGTGCACGCCCACAAACCTGCGAGGACAGAAATTAATATTGTTACTACGACTGCTACATACAATAGTAGCAATCGCATCCATTTATGCAGGGCCGTAGGCAGGATGTATAAAATATCGAGATCAAAAGTGTTAGCCCTTCCTAGGTGTGTGCCGTAATGGGTCGTGGCTATTGGAGTTACATTAAAAATACCGAGGACTTGACCTCGGTGTCCTCAACGGTAGGTACGAGCATGCATCTATGCAATCTTAATTAAATTAAAGTTTACATTTAATCACATGTAGCCTTACGGTCAGAAACTGACATTATAAGTTGAAAAATATGTTTCCAGATTTGAACGTAGCATAAACTTACAATGATTGATATTGTAATTGCCGACAACTAACACTGGCGTCTATTATCATTATTATTATTATTATTATTATTATTGTTGTTGTTGTTGTTTTAAAAATAAGAAATATGCGTACATATTGCCAGCAGTCTATACTACGCAATACATACTTTCGTGCCCACCTTTCTGAATGTTTTGGGGACAGTCCTTTTTTAGTCCATCACCACTTATATCTGAATCACTGTCGTTGAAATCGCTGTCTCCCTTCCCACTGTCTTTTCCGCTGAACTGGGGATCTCTGCCTGAGATAGCAGAGTAGGAATTGCCCTTCCATATTGCGATTGGCTTTGCAGCTTCTTTTCCGTACCCAGGAAGCGTAGAGTATCCCTGTGAGGAGAAAGCAGGGGATTTTTAGCATCAGGATAAATATAACGTTGCACAGCACATGAGCTGATAACCATGGCATAGTCGAAATTACATACCTCCAGCTTGACACCTCGCATCCTGTTTTCAGGATCGTAAGTTCGTGCCCTTTCGTTTCCATTTTCAGAGCAGGATCGCCTGTTATTGTCCGTGTCTGATTTAGTGGAAAACGTGTGGCTTTCAAACACGTTGCCATTGTGATTTAAGATCAGAGAGTCGCTGCCCATTTCCCCCTTCTCTAATTGCGGCATATCCAAATCTTCTGGGAAGCCGCTTTTTCTCAGCCTCTTCCGTTGGTTGCAGGTCGTTGCGATCAAGATAATGGCGAGCAGGAGGATGGAGCAACTCCCTGCCAGAACGAGAATTAGTACAGTTGAAGTGTCCCATTGCATGAACTCCTCTTTGTTTTTCCGCTTCAGAGACGGGAGATCGCTTGGGGGAGACGGACCGGCAATGATGGTGAATCTGATATTCGCGGTGGATGTCAGCGAAGGTCTCCCGTTGTCACTGACCGTGACAGTGATTTGCAAGCTTTCGTTAACATCATACTTCAGCGCATGCTTTAAATATATATCCCCCGTGGATCTGTTGATGGAAAATAATGAACCTTCCCCGTTAACAATTTTGTAAGACAATTCGGCGTTTGTCCCATCGTCATCGTCTTTAGCTTTTATCTGGGTTACAATAGAACCTGAGGGTGCATCTTTTGGTAGCAAGACTTCGGCGGATCCGTTTTTTAGGGTGGGTTGCGTGATGGAAGGTGCGTTGTCATTTTGATCAACTATTTTTAGGTTGATGGCTGCCTTGCTGTGAAGCTGGGGCGAGCCCCCGTCGGCGGCTTGGACTTGCAGCGAGAGCTGCTTCATCACTTCGTAGTTGAAACTTCTTAGTGCATAGATTGCACCCGTGCTGGGGTCAAGGGACACAAACGTAGCCACCGGAGACCCCATGACATAGGAATCCAAAAGTCTATAAATAACTTTGCCATTCTGCCCCAGATCCAGATCTCTCGCCACGACGGTGGTGATATACGCGCCGGGCGCGTTATTTTCCACAATGGAAACTTCGTACACTTGTTTGCTGAAAAGAGGGGCGTTGTCGTTCTCGTCGCTCAGCCTAATAGTGTATTGCGTTATTGTTCTGAAAGGCGGCGATCCCAGATCTTCGGCAACTACCGTTAAATTGTATTCTGCGATTTTTTCCCTGTCTAGGGGCGCCGTGGTGACAATCATATAGCTGTCTTCGTATGCCTGCTGAAGTTTGAAATGATCGTGCCCGTACAGAGTGCAGTGAACCTGTCCATTTGCCCCGGAGTCTCTATCCGAGGTGCTGATTAGAGCCACAAAACTGTCTTTCGCCGCAGCCTCTGTAATGTACGCAATACCTGCCGTGATGGAAGTCATGGGTGTGATACTAATTTCTGGAGCATTGTCATTAACATCTTGCACTTGAATAATTATTTTGCACGTAGACGGCGTCGGATTAGCACCTAAATCATATGCTTGTATGTCTAATTCAAAGGTTTTCTTTGTCTCGAAATCGATTGGATTTTCAAGTGTTAATCTACCAGTTTTACGATCCACTTTGAAAAGTTGCCGTATCTCGGCAGATACGTGATTTCCAAATCCATAAACAACCTCACCATTTAAGCCCTCGTCGGGATCAACTGCATTTAGATCCAGCAAAAGAAGCCCAACCGGTGCGTCTTCAAATAAGTCAACAGATACGTTACTCTGTTCGAAAATCGGACTGTTGTCGTTGAAATCTTTGACTTTGACGTTTATTTTTGTAGTGCCAGACCTGGAAGGGTTTCCTCCATCGACAGCAACAAGCTCGAGAAGATGAAATGACTGAGTTTCCCTGTCAAGCTCTTTCATTAGCACCAACTCCGCATATTTAACCCCATCTGCTCTGATCAGCACATCAATAGTGAAATGACTGTTTACTGAAATTTGGTAGCTTTGAATGTAGTTTGCGCCCACGTCTTCATCCACGGCAACATCTAAAGGGATTCGGAGCCCAAGCGCTGCGTTTTCAGAAACCTCTATGGTCGATTCCTTGTTAGGGAACTCGGGAGAGTTGTCGTTGATGTCCTTTACTTCAACTTCAACGTGGATTAATTTAAACTGCTCTTTGGAGAAATAGACAACGTCGAAAGCGATGAGACACTGGAGAGTATTTTTACAGATCCGCTCTCTGTCTATTCGTTCGCCAATGGTAAGCTGCCCGTCGCTTTCTCTCAGTCTGATAAAAGAAGCGTTGAACTGTTTCATCATCCTGAAACTGGTTTTGGTATCCAGCCCGGCATTTAAGAACATGTCCTTGGCAAGGTTCCCAATCACCGTATCAGGAGCGTCTTCTTCGTAGGTCTGGTATTTCATTGTCTTTCCCGCAGAGAAAGCGGGTAAGACGACCAACGTATGCATTAAGGTGAAACTGAACATCCACCTATGCCACACAGTCATAATACCTCCCAGTCTTTTTGAAAACATATTCATTGGTTGACTTTTGTTTAAATAAAAGTTAACTGTGCATTTAAGCCAACGCAACTAACAATCTTCCTTAATTGTCCCCGGTTGGAAACGCGGATTCTATAATACGGGAAGAAAGTTCCCGAGGAATCCTGACGGCAGCTCTGCCTTCCGCAAACTCTGCCAACTGCAGTGTCGGACAGATTTATAGACAGCCGCATGCAAATGACGTGATGTGCGGCCAATCCCCTGCTTTAAAATAGCGACTTTTATAAAAACCTATAAGCTTATTTTGATGTTCATTGAATGCGCAATTAATTTAACACTTTATATACGTGTGTGTATAGAATTTCTTCTTATTCATTTTATATTCCTCTCATTCCATGAATAAC